TTTTCCGTTGAAAAAATATTTTTAATTATAAAAAGGTAGACTTTGCAAGGCGCAAGCTTTCTCAAGATGCTGAAAATTGGTAAGACAATTTTCAGTATGATCGAGTTCCTATTGATAAGTCTGAAATTTCATTTTTTTAAAAAATTATTAATTTAGAGTTTGTACAAGATGATTGCCATGATATTTTATATTAGAAAAATAAACAATTAAATTGTCATTACATGTCTTCTTTGAGGTTTTTGGGGAGGGAGGGTGTTTGTTGTTTGGTTTGCAAAGATAAAGTTTAAGGTTGTTTGTTATTTTTTTTTAAAGTTAATTATTAAGAGGTTAATCTTAAAACTATTACCCTCTGACCAGTATATATATACACTCTATGTTTTTTTTTTGTCTTGAAATAGGCACCAAATTAATTTTTAATTGCATCTCACTAATTATTACTAGTAATATAATTATTTTCTCTCTCTTTCCACTAATATTTAACCCTTTAATTTATGAATATACTAAATATTTATAAAAACTAACTTTTACACTATTAAAAATTATTTTCACTGTAATAGTTATTTAATTGTAAAGATTTTCTAACTGTGTGGGTTTTTTTTTATCTCATTTAATCATTGATCATTGAACTCATAATAAAAGGTGGGATTAGGAAACATTAAAATAAGAATTCAGAGCCAAATATATCTCTTTTATGACCATATCTTCAACCTGCCTCCTATTTTCCTTCAATAAATAATAAATCTTTATCGTTGAAGAATCCTTTTCCGATTAATTTTCTAAAATACTAAGTGGAACTAGCTCCGTTTGAGCTTATATTTAAGATATAGTATCCAATCTATCTCTACCAGTATAATTATTTCTAATCTATCCTTATATTTTAGTTCATTCTTTAATCTATCCTTTTAAAATATTTTCAAACAAACTAACATAAATACTAACATTTACGAAACTCAAGCTCTAATTAATTTATTAAGAAAAAAAATTGTCATAATGTGTTCAAAATTACAATTCATTTTTCACAAATATTTTTTTTAATAAATTACATTAGATTTGATTTTTCCATGTGAGATTATTTTTGTTAATTCAATTGAGAATAATTTGACACAAGAATGTATTAGAGAATAATCATATATTTCAAAACTGTTTTGCTTTTTTTTATTTATTTATTGTATCTGTCTCCACTAAAAGAATTTTGTAACAAAAAAATAAAAAGAGATCGGATAATGGTCAAGGCAACTCAACTTTCAGATTCAAGTATCTGCATATTAACTCTACTACTTTGTAAAATTAATAATATGTAAAGCTTTAAAAGAAACTTATGTTTATTGATAAAAAATATACTTACAAATTAAAACTCTTCCTTTAGATATAATGTTCTAATATGTATTCATTTTTTTGAAGATCACAGACACAAGTTGTGAATATATGATGGAATCAAAAAGCCAAACTATCAATTTATAAATCTATTAGTTTACTTTGATTGTTGTCAACAAGCTATTGTATATAATCTATTACATAACAAGTTTCTAAGTGTATTGAAATATAAGATAGTTCTCTGAGAGCTTTTTATTGTTTACAAAAGTTTTTAAGTTTGATTATTTGTTGTTGGTTTTTTTCCACCTCTTGTTGTAGTTTGTAGTTATAAGCTTATTGGCTCTTTTATGATCTTTTTGCAGTGCTTCATGTTCCTTTACAACTCCCAATGCAGCCTTAATGCTTAAAATTCATCTGTAACTACCCACATAGTCTTGCAATGCTCTACGTTTCTTTATAACTACTATAATCATGTTTTATGTTTTTTTTTATATAATTATTACTATTGTGTTTCATTTTCTTTCCTGGTTGTTAAGGAAGTTGTCCCTCATGTTTATCTTCTTATAATTGTTTTGTTTAATCAAAAAATTTATGATTAGTAAGTATTTTGGTCCAAGTAAATTACCCAACAAGTTAACTGAGGAGCCTTTTATGTAAATCAAATTACAAAACTTTTGAGCCTAATCTAAATTTTGAGTATAACATCTAATATATATATATGTGTGTGTGTGTGAAAGTTCTTTTTACCTGTGAAAGAAATAGTTTTTGCACTTAATGATTAACTTTTAATTTTCAAAATATAATGTATATTTCTTGTAAACACGTCTTTTCACCTTCTGTAGATTACTAGTTGCAAATCATATATATGAACCAATTGAGAGACATCTTATCACTGTGGACTCCTTTTTTCGATTATAAACTCTTCTTCTTCCTCGAAGTTCTTCTTCTCCCTTTTTTTTGTAGAAGACACACCCCCTTTATCATCTAACCTAAAAGTATTCTTGAAATCTATTACTTTAAACCTTCATTTCATTCCATAAATCATATCAATATGTTTTACGGCCTGCTCTTCCAAAACTTAGTTGGGCCATTCAAGAAAACGCTATTGCAAGTTCACCTAATTGAATAGGATTCTAACCCCGCACCCTTGGTGTTCTGCTTCTGCTCCTTGTGTGTTTTGATAATGCAAGTTCTCTTTTTGCACCCCGCTGATTGTTTTGTTTGCACTGCATCTTTGTTGGCTGCTGCTGGATACTTCAGATGTTTTATATATTTTGCAGCTGATGGAGATTCCTAATTCGTATCATTGGATTCCTGCTACTACTATTCTTCATTCTTCATATTCTCCTTCGTAAAAGTCTCTGCTTCGTGTGACCGCATGGGTGGCTGATGACTTTATGGGTGTGCTGATATATACATAGTTTTCAGCCAGCTGCAGTTGCTAATTAGGTTGCGTCTGATGAACTTTTTAGTGTGTTGTTGTTTGTTGAGCTAATGATATAGCGTGGCCCAATGGCCCAAAAGACTTAAACAGATCATTGCACGATAGATCTTATGTAAACTAGCTGAACTACGTTAATTTTTGGTGGACCTGCCAGACATGAAAAAGACAAAAAAAAAAGAAACAAGCATGATGAGTGGTGACAACTATTCTCACCCAACGTAGTAATGCTTTTGTCATCCTTAGCCACGTTTTCATTCATATTACTATGATCCATGGACTTGTAAATTGTAATGAACGCGCGGTATATGGAAATAATTAAGAAAAAAAATTTAAGCTTTTTTGGACTTTGATTTTGCTTGATCTGCATTTCTAAGTTCTCGGAGTTAAATTGTTTGTCACGTGGATAGGAAATAGTGAGATGGTCTCAGTCAAACGATTCTGAAGGTCAAGAGGTGTTGGCCTTTTGGTAATTGATTCACTGATGTAACTATTGTGTCCAAAACGGAGATGGAAGGGGTTTATGATTTCTAAGAATTTAGAGGAAGCTATATAATAATTACATTAATTTTAAAATTTTTCTCAAATCATATTAATTTTTATTTTTTTAGTATATTAATTTTAAAAAAATATAAATCAAGTTTTTTTGTTTAATTTTTTATCTACTAATGATGTAGTAATTAATATAAAAGATTAAGTGACTATATTGTATTTTTTTCCTTTCAAATTGTTATTATTGTTTAATTATTAATTAAAAAAGCTGGTTGTTATTATTTTTTAATTATTAATTAAGAAAAGCAAAGCAATAATTTGGGGAGGAAAAAAGAAAAAAAAGTAAAATAGTCATTTAGTATTTTTTATTGACTTCGCATCATTACTAGATGAAAAATTAAACGAAAAAACTTGATTGATATTTTTTAAAAAATTAATATATTGAAACTAAAGAATAAAAATTAATATATTGAAACAAAAGAATAAAAATTAAGATACTCGAAAGAAAATATATTCAAAATTAATATACTTTTTATGTAATATATTGAAACAAAAGAATAAAAATTAAGATATTCGAATGAAAATATATTCAAAATTAATATACTTTTTATGTAATTTTTTCAAACTTTATATAGTTTTGCAAGTGCAAATAGTGCTAGTTTGGAAAATCTAACTTCCTTTATTTGATAACAAATAAATAAAGATTATGACAAGTGATTCAAGCAATGTGAAGTGACAGATGAATTTACTTTGGTAATTTGAATTTTGTACAAGATTTCTAAAAAAGTAATATGTGATGGTTTCTTCCGGGATAATTGCATTATAATTTGAACAATTTTTATTGTATCTTTTCAATTAAAAATATAAATTTTTATTTTTATCATTTAAATATATTATTTTTTAAAAAATATCAATTAAATATTTTTTTATCAAAATTTTGTCATTTTTTCTATTATTTTGATAATATGTCCTTTGTATTAAAATACTAAACTATAATTTTATATTTTTTTAACAGAATATTTTTTTTTCAAATTATTTTTTTATTTTTTAAAATAAAAATATCTAAATTGTCGTTATATTCAAACAATAGAAGAAGACAAAATAGTATGAAAAGGAAAGTTTTCTTTAAAAATAAAATTTTAAAATTTTAATTTAGCAATTTAAGACAAAATGCATATTATCAAATAATATAATAATTGATAAAAATTAAATGAAAAATATTTTATTAATATTTTTTAAATAATTTACTCAAATAAAAATATTAAAATTTATATAATGGATTGAAAAATTTTAAAAATTTATATATTTTTTAAAATACTCCAAAAGTTAGTGTATGACGTTATTTTAGGGCACATTTGATAAGCACATAGAAAGAAAAACATTTGAACTTATTAAAAGTAATAAAAAAATTTCTTTGTGGACTTAAATTTTTTTAAAATTATTTTTTCTCTTATTTTTATAAAATAAATATTGATATTTATTTTTAGAGTAATATAAAATTTTTGAGAAATTTTATATATTTATAATGCAATTATTCCGTTTATCCCACCGAAAAGCGAATTTCTTTCAAAATTCTTGCTGTCTTGAACCAAAATAAAGGTTATTCTGGGGCATGACAGGACAGGCACTTACTGGCGGTGGCACACATTCCCAATCCTCTTTGCTATTGACTTGATTGAAGATCATTATCAATCAAACACAATTCCCTTCATCAACCCTCCCCGAACATTAATCAAGATCACCGGAAACAACCATGGAGTTCCCTTACGGCCACCACTCTCAGACTCATCACCACCGAAGAAATGACGATGATGAAGAGAGAAGAGAGCATTACCCACCACCAGATATGATGCCACCACCACCATCCTTCCACCAACCACCACCACCATACTACAGAGAGAATGAATTTGCTCCACCACCACCACCCTCCTCACACTATTATCAAGAATCTCCACAACCACCAAGACCATATTTTCATGAAACTAACTATGGACCTCCACCACCACCACCCTCACTTCAAGAAACTCAGGTCTTTCACACATCTCATAATAATCCACAAGTTGACCGTCCCCTTGATTATCCACCACCACCAACACAAGTGACTCATGTTTCTCATGAACAAACTGAAACCCATAACTTTTTCAGGCCTCATATGCCAACTTTCATTCACCAGCACACTCATCACTCTGGCTCTGCTTCCGGGCTTGACCTTTATAATAAACCTAGCTTTAAGGTTTACAGCAAAGCTCAGCCTGATTTTCACCTTACTATTAGGGATGGGAAAGTGATTCTTGCTCGATCAAATCCTTCTGATGAGTTCCAAGTATGTAAAAAGTCAAAGCTTTCCTTTCAATTATGATCTCAAACTCAATTTGACTATAAAAAATTACCTTTCTTTACCATGTTTTTTGTTTTCTATTTTTTTAGGGTTTTTAATATTTCTTAGTGTTTACATTTATTTTAATCTGGGTTCGTCTTTTAATGTGCTTCGTTTTTGGTTGGTTTGGTTGCGATTCTGTTTAGTATTTAATCTGATCATTGTTTATTTGATCACATCTTTTTGGTCCCTGTCTTTGGTTATTTGCTAATGTTTACAATCATACGATCCTTGTGCAGACTGATCATTTTCTGATTAATTGATTTAATCTGCTTACTTTAGTTTTTCTTAATTTTCTTTTTCTGGGTTTTGGTGTTTTACATGTTTGTAGTTGTGCTTGATTTGTGCTGGTTGTTGTTGTTATAGAACTGGTATAAAGATGAGAAGTTCAGCACAAGAGTGAAGGATTCGGAGGGCTCTCCTGCCTTTGCTTTAGTTAATAAGGCCACGGGTCAGGCCATGAAGCATTCCATTGGAGAGTCACACCCTGTAAGAAATTCTGTGAGAGCATGAACTTGTTGAAAATTTATTCTTCTATGTTTTGCTCCTAACATTTCATTTTTCATGTCTAATTGCTTTGACCTTCAGTTGTGGAAAACTTGAACTTATAAAGCATCTTTCTTTGACAGATTTTGTTTTGATTGAATTTATAATTGCATTTGTGTATTCCCTTTCTACCTCGATATTAAGTCTGAATAGCCCTTTCATTTTGGAAACGAAGAAGGTGCACTTGTGTGCTTGATACATCATCGCATAAGTGGATTTTCAATTTTTTCAAGGTGATACCGGTCTAGAATGTATTACATAGAGAAGTTACTTGTAATGATTTAATACAAGTATCCAGAACTCTGTATTCTTTAGGAAACCAAGAGGTTGGTGATTTTCTTTGCCTGAGGAAGTGTAGGCATTGCCATAAGACAGTGACTGGATATGGAATTCCAGGCAACAGTTTCAGTTAATTTCATTTATGCTGTCATATACATTGCTTGCCACTGTTGTTCATGACCATAAATGATCAGATTTTATATATCCTCTTAAAGGTCCATATGCCTGTTTTGACGACATTTATCACAAAAACATAATGCGGTAAGGATTGGATTGAACTGAGTTGGATTTCTTCATATATTAGTCTGCAGATAATTTGAAACATGTGTGGCATATATGTTTTGGGTATTGATGCAGCAACCTTAAACCCCCCTGTTGAATTTATCCAAGTTATTCATCCTAGGCAAGAACCGGTCATCATAAGTGATGAAGTATTTAGCATCCAAAACCAGCATGCTTTCCCACATTTCACATCTTGATCAAACTCTATTGAGGGGTATGTGGGTGTAACACAGAATCGATACCTATAACTGGGCTACAAATTAGTGCCAATGACTTTGTTGCTCCTCTCCTTAATCTACCGAGATGTCCTTTAAGGCTTCCAATAGGCGACTCGTATTGTCTATCACTTGACTGTTGTATGCAAGCAGTTAACGGGCAGGCATCCATACAGGTGTACCACAGCACCATGTAGAAAAGTTTTAGCCTAATACAATTCCACGACATTTTGAATTATCTTGAACTTTATTTTTTTTCTCATATTTAACAAACCAACCTTCTCCACTTAGAGTACTCATGTAAGGTTGTTACTGAAATAAATTATAATCTGACTTCAAAATATTTAGTTAGGGTGTAATGCTGTGTAGAGATACACTGTAGCCAAATATGTTGTGACCCTGCTTTTTGTGACATAAGTTGACATACAATGATTGAGCACTTTCATAGTTTAGCGGAAGTCCTCATGATAGTCTATTCCTCTTCTTTTTCTTCTTGAGCAACAAATGGTATGCCTTTAGAAAAGTTAAACTTGTCCGAAAAAAATATTTCTGCAGGTGCAGCTGATTCCGTACAATCCAGATGTTCTCGATGAGTCTGTCCTATGGACAGAAAGCAAGGACTTGGGTGATGGTTTCAGAGCTGTAAGGATGGTTAACAATACCCACCTGAATGTGGATGCTTTTCACGGTGATAAGAAATCTGGTGGTGTCCATGATGGCACCACCATTGTGCTCTGGAAATGGAACAAAGGAGATAACCAACGATGGAAGATCATCCCAGCCCAGTACTGTAAGTTTCAAAACAAACAAAACTCAAGGTTTAAAATCCCTATTAAAGTTTTACTATGTCTCTGCCTTTTGTCATACAAAACATCGTAAAAGAGCACAAATTGAAGATAAAGTTCATTTGACAAAAGAAAGTCCAAAATTTACATAAGAAAGTCTTTCTTTATGTTTTTATTAACTTTCTTTCTCTTGATTGATATATATGCAGGAAATATGCATGGTGTTGTTGCCATTTCTTGAAGCATTATACTGTATTTGCTGAACCTTGAATAATTGTCGAGAGGATTGGTTTTTGTTCCTTTTGAGAACGTATTGTCCTTAGCGTGTTTCTCCGTGTGAAAACTTGTGTGGCAAACACTCTACTATCACTGTTTCCATCTATGCTTCTTGTTTATTTTCCATAACTATACTATATCGTGAATCAATTTCTAATATATCATGAAGAGTTCCTATGGATAAACCTGCTGCATAAAACAATTATACATGTTATCGGTGTACTCTCTTTTGTAGTTCCTTCCAATTCTTTGGCACACTAATCTCTGCTTGAGCTCAAGGTCAAGGCAGCATATAAAAACCATCAGTTCCATGTTAAATGTTTAGATTATGCACTGCTTTGTTAGTTTTTAATATTCACCACCATCTTGTTGTCTCGAGTTACATTTTGCTGCTGTACTGCTACTTATCCAGATCCCTAAGCGTAAGGGTTGATTGATTGATATGATGGACCGTTTAAGGTGTGTTTTTTTTTTTAATTCATTATTGAAGGATTAGTGTCATTCATTTCATATATATTATAATAATTTGGTTCTGAGGAAGTACTAGCGAGAAAAGTTCATAGCTTTGAGAATGACGAGGAAAAATAAACCAAGAGAGATGTGAGCTAAATTAATGCATGACGGTAACTTTTAGCATCACAACTTCGAAGAACATAGTCGAGTACAGAAAACCTATGGATATAAAACTGTACTGTTTAGGATTTAAATGCTATGGGAATTGAGGTCTTAAGCTCCAGAATTGAGGAGAATTTGTCCTTGAATCAACACGTTAGATTAAATCAAATTAATTGTCTGAAACTGAATGGAAGTTGGGGTTCTAGGATATAAAAAATTACTCTTCTTCTTTGTAGCTGAAGGTCTAGTGGCATTCTATGAGCACAAAAAAGGTTCATTTACTACAATTAGATTTCATTGTTATCTCTAGAATTGATATGATGGAAAGAAATGCTACACATAATCCTTAATGTGCTTGGCAAAGCGTGATTATGCAACCGTCCATGTGCACAACTAAAATTGCACAGCCATGCTAACCATAAGGACGCAATGACTATGTGTTTAGCATTTCTGTATTACATGACTGTTACAAGATTCATCAGCATAATTTCTGAAAAACAAAGAAGAAACCATGATCAGGCTATAAGCTATTGGCATGGTCATCTAGCAAACACCATTAGTAAAAGACATGACATGCACGTTCAAAAATCTAACATAGTACAGCATATTAATGGGCTTTTAAGTTCAGGGCCGAGCTTAAATGAATGTGCCTCTAATGTAGGTCCATGAAGAGCAATTAAAGTGGCTTCCATGTAAAATCTCTAAGGAGAGTATTTCCTAATGGAAAACCTTATCCCTAATGTTTCTACCAAGACAGCAATTTCCTCTTTCCCTGAGGAAATTTCCGATCGTAAAGATAAACTGAGCATGAAAAGTTTACACTCTAACCAATGCACAACTTAACTAGATAAACATGGTATTATCATAAAAAAATACAGCACTAACACTAGCTATAGCAGTAATTAGTACAAGAAGCGAGTCAGTGCTATGCCATTTCAGTGTTACAGGTACAAATTGTGCTCATATTTTAACACCAAGAAATGAAGTGGTCTCTAAAAATTTCTCAATATAAAAAAGAATTTTTTTAAATTCATTTGTAATAAGAGTTGAGTCTTTCGTTGTCAAAAATTTTCTTTCATACCGTAAATTAGATATTTCGAGAGGTTCTAATCTAATAGGTTTCTTTTAAAAGAATAGAAAAAAGGTTTAGAATGGGGAGATAGGCTAGGTCATCTAGATCTTTTACGTCTATACAATAACTTCAATATTTGAATTAAGGGCCCATACTCTAAGACGTATCTAATCTTATCAATTATTATAATTTTTCTTCTTGAATAAATCATAAATTACTCTAAGACAATATAAAAAATTTCGTCTTAAACTTACGGCAACTTGCCAAACAAAGGCAAATAAAAAAAAAGAACTCAAGAATTATTGCCAAATAAACATAGCATTGCCATTACGAAGCAAAATCAAGCATGAAATGCTCACGATCTGTCGAGTATGTAGTTTAACCGGATAAAAATAGTGTTGCAAAAAAAAAATTAAATATAAAAAGCTCATAGCTTGGTCAACATACGTCTTGACCAAATAGAGCATTTTTGTTTTAAAAGATTTTGAATTCTTGTCGTTGTTCTTGCTATAGTTTGATTTAAACATTTTAGAAAATCTTTAGGATTTTGGTCATGGTCCGGAGACCTGGATGTGTAACAATCATAATAAGGATCCGAGTAATGGGCGGGTCAAGGCAGGTCATCATCTAGTAGTGTTAGCAAGTTATCGCCGCCAACTTGAGGATTGTTGCCATTATTAATGTCATTATACATCCTTCTTTTGCCACCCTTATGGGTGCCTTCTTGTGATCTTAGAAATGACTATTATTCTTTTACGATCTCTAGCTCTTTAGTGGAGTCGTCAAAATATGTAAAGTGTTTTTGAGAACTAATCAAATGACTAGTCAACATATCAAATAGGATACAAAAAGTTAGTGTTGTAACTTGTAGAAGTAACGACCAACCAATCAAATAGAATGCAAGTACTAAGACACGTGGGACAAGAACCAGGCATTATTAACAAGATGCAATTGAGTATCAAACAAGTAAGTGGTCAAAATCCAAACGAGATGGAGATTTAGATGTTGTCTAGCATGTGAGTTGGAAGGTTTTGAGAAAGAGAATTTAGAGATTTATATATATATATATATATATATATATAGAGAGAGAGAGAGAGAGAGAGAATAGAAGTTAGAGGGTGATTCTTAGTCACTAAGATCATACCATGTCAATTTTTTTTTTTTTTAATGATTAGATTAGTATTAGATAAATTATATTATTTTAAATTAAAACATTTCAACTTGCTAGCAAATGCATAATAATAATAATAAATAACAATTGAACCTTGTTTTAGCATATCCAACTTCAACTTTTTTTTTTTTTATAAACTTGATCTATTGCATTAGATAATTTTTGGAAATGAGGTGTATCGTATCAAGAAAATGAATTAATTTGTACCTTAGCCTAGTCATTTTCAACTTTGTCGTAACACATTTCGACCCCTTTGAAAATTAAAAAAAAGAAAAATTGCATGGTGTACGATTTCTTAATTTTTGCATGATTATTTTTAGGTATTTTTACAAATTTCCTAGGTTTATTGCATGATGTGTATTTTCCTTGAATTTTGAAAATCTTATCAAGCGTCACATTGTTCATTTTTCCTAATTTTTGACTTAATTCCACATTTATTATTTTTTATTATTAAAAAAAATGTTTAAGTGATTAGGAAATAATTGAGTGAGATTGAAAAACTGACGGCTGAAATTGAGGTAGTTAGAGTGTAATTGAAGGAAAGTAAAAAGAAAGAGGACTGAAATTAAAAAAAAAAAGAATTTGAAAGACACAAGGGTGTATTGGAAACAAAATGAAAGAACAGCGACTAAATTAAAAAAAGGGTCTGAAATAGATAGACCAACTTAGACATTACTATTCGTCTGCCCAAATGATAAAACATTAACATCCAGCCATTTCCCCTTGGCCCCACCCAACCCCCCCCCCCCCCCCCCCCCACAACACCCAACGCACACAAAAGACAGCCTTCCTTCTCCCTCGAAACCTCCACCATGCCAAGGCAAAACACATGCACTCTCTTTTCTTGTATTTTTACTCAATCTTCAGCCAAAAAAAAAAAAACCCCAAACCAGCTGCAATTAAAGGCCATAAACCACCCCAAAAGCATGTTGTACACCCTTGTTTAGTGCTGCAATTAAAGGACAAAAAGGCTAGCTAGTAAGAGGAATGAATGGCCAAGATTGATCCCACCATGATGAACATTTGAGACGGAACTTGGAGGACTTTTCCTAATTCATTCTTGAGACTAAAAAAAACAGAAAAGAAAAAGGCTTGGCAAAAGGAGGAGGAGAGAGAAAAGAAAGGGATGAAAAAGAAAAGAGAGTTTCTGGGAGATATTTTTGAGAGCTAAATAAGATCACAACTAAGCCTAGAGAGTGAGGAAGACAGTAGAGTAAAAGCAAGGGAGAAAAGAGGAAGAAAAAACGATCAAAAGAGAAGGAGAAAGGAACTGTCAACACAGTGCGAACGGCCATCATTTTTGCCATTTATGACCACCAAATAGATACCTTCTCCCCTATTCTTTTCTATTAACTAGAAAAAAAAAAAAAAAGAACACGTGTGAGGGGGATTCGATGCATTTGGTGCCAAATTAAAATGGAAAAAAGCATGAAATAGCAAGGCAGAGATATTAGCCAAAAATGTCCAAAACTGAACATAATAGGGCTGACCAAGAAGCTAGATTTGAGAGTGATTTTCTTCTTGTTCTTGTATAGTTAGAGTTGAAACTTATATCTAGGGATAGAGGAACATTAGGAATGGAATTTACACCCTTTTTTTTTTTTTTTTTTTTTGAAGTCATTTAGGAAGAAAAATCAAAGAGAAGGAGGCCACAAAGTGGCGGGTCAAGCTGTCCAAAAGGAAAGGCTACTGGAATGGTTACTGAAAAAAATAGAAGTTTGGCTGGCATCTGACTTTTTGTTCCATGATTGTGAGGGGATGATTAACATGATTCACTTGCGTTAGTGTACTTACGATTACACCCAGAATCACAGCATACTAATGGCCAAATCAGTGGGCTTTTGATTCACAGAGATTGTTTCTGTTTACAACTATTTTAGGCTAGTTTTTCATGTCTTTTTCACTTGATTTTTTTACTTTTTTTTGGATATACATGGTTTTGAAGTGCGTTTCAAATTTCAGAATTTTTAAATGTAATTTGATATTTATTTTGAGTTTTTTTTTTTTTTTTAGAGATCTACGATGATCTCTCGTAGAGTTTTAATTTCGGTTGCAATGAATATAGGATCCGTTTATGACTTGGATGCTTTTAATTAGGAACTGTTGTCAATCCAACAATTCTCTTTTCGCTAGGGACCAACGGTGGTCTTGGTAAATTTTATCTAAAAAAAAAAAGAATAAGTAAGAAAGTGTGCGTTGTGCCAGTTTCCTTCTACGTCTTAATTTTAATTAAAATATATATAGCTTGATAGGTTATTCATAACACGTTGATTATGTCGGGACTTAATCGAATCGCATATTAAATTGATGCGACTATTAGTTGTAGAATTCGACATCAATTTAATACGATTTTATAATAAATAATAAAACCTCAAGTGCCCAAAATCCCCTTACAAAAAAAAAAAAAAAAAAAAAAAAGTGAAGAGTTTATTTTGGCAAAAAGTGTATTTAAGAATTAATTTAGAATTAGAATGAATTTGGTAACTTTTCTTATGAGCGGATGCCGTTAGGTAATTTTTATCTTTTCAATAGGGATAATTAATCCTTTACCTGTAATCTCTA